ACATTTGACCTTTGACCTTAGGGATAATAAGTTTAATGATCTCTGTATGACAATTCGGAGAAATATCAAATATTGGTTTGATGTTTTTGAGAAATGAAATTAATTCAAGTTCATCTGTGCCGTCGACTATGTTCAATTTATTAATTAATTCAATTACCACGATTTGATCAGTTTTGGAAAGTGATTGACTGACATTGTATGCGTGAGCGTGTACGTGTGTGTCATGGTGAGTGTATGTGAGAGGTCGAGTGTGTGGGTGTGGGTGTTGGGTATGGTCAGTGAGGGTGTGTTGCGACTGTACAGTGGCACTGGCCGGGGCAACAGTAGACAGAGAACCAGTCGCTACAGGAAATGACGCGCGTTGTTGTGCATTCGCTATCTCTCTCTCTCTCACACACTCGTTCGAAGGTTGAATATCCACATACGATGAGCTATTGGCATGACTGTTGTTTTGATTTATATTCGACGTACTTGATAGTATTTCAGTCAATTCGTGGTTGTTTAGGTCCATTAAACAACTATTAGAATTTTGTCTAATTGGCGATGGTTGGTCATCGTTTACGATCGGTAAACGACAATCGGAATTTTGTCTACTTGGCGACGGTTCGTCATCGTTCACGATCGGTAAACGACAATCGGAATTTTGTCTACCTAAATTAGCTCCATTGTCATTTGGTGGAACTATTTCATTGTTATGGTTGATCGTTGCATTTAAATCGATTAATTCCCCTAAATTTCTCCTTAACATACGGTCACGTCGGTCATTCGCAGTTGTATTATACCCAGGCCCAAATTGTTGGTGCATTTTTTCGCTAGGAAAATAATTCGATTTACGGTGATATATCTGACTTTAACAAAATGAATATTCCACGATGACAAAAACCAATTGACAATTAATTACAGCACAATACACAATGACGATGGCAATAACAATAAAATTTCTTATAATCTAAACAATTTCAGTGAATCGCACAGACACAAACAGTACCAAGGGAACCACGCTCTGCTAACATTTATTTGTAAAGAAAAAAAGAAAAAAGTAACTCTGACTTTGACTCTCATATATTTAAATATTATATTTAAATATATTTACTCCTTGCAATGCTCCTTAATGAATTCTTTACAAATGTTGGTTGCCCCTAGGTTGGAAGAACTCTAGAAAATAAAAATATCAGACAGAGCTTTTTGGCAGTGAAAGCTTGATGTTATTGAAAAATATGAGTGGACCCTGCAAAATATAAATATTCCCCAAAGGTCCTTAGGGGACGCCCCTGGCACTGTTTGTAGTTCTTCCAATAAAGTAATACCTTTAATGAGATCAATTTACTAGTCTTAATTCTACACTGAATTTACTTGCTCACTACTACACTAGTGACTAGTGTTGCACTTAAAAGGTGAATCTTTTGTAGTGGCTTATGATTTACTGAATTACCTTTTGTTTATCAAATACTATTGCATATGCTAAAATACTAAGGTTATTGAGAACTAGAAGTGAGTAACAAGTTGAATTTATTGCACAGAATTTAATAATACACTTATTTCAGTTTACAGTCGTTGTTGTATTCTTTCAAGTAAAAATGACCTTGAGATACACAATCAGTTGGAAATTTATTGAAACTGTTGAATGGATTTATCAAAGGGGAGGTATGGTGCGGTTTCACACCGATCTCGAAAGTATCAATGGAAGAGTGGTATTTAATCTAATGGTTGAGATGACCTGTACCAAGCAAATCCTTTCGTTGGCCAACGATTAAAAACGAAGGTCGTCTCGCAGTCCAACTGATTGAACAATATTGTATTCAATCGTAGTAATGTTTATCAGAATGTTGCTTTATTATTTTATAGCTAATTTGGCACTTTGGTGGTTCATCTATGTTCAAACTGGCACAACTTCCAACAACACTTCCGTATCAATCGAACCAGCTACCTGCTCCCTTCTCTGATAATAATTTGTTTCCCCCAAAAAATACTGACTGTGACACTCTTTAAGAGATTTGTACCATTTGCTCAACAATGAAAATTAACAATGACTCTGTGTAAAATTCCAACACTATAAAAATCTTATTAAATAACTCTGAATTGCCCTATAAAAACATTTTTACCTATTTATTCTTAATACTATAGGGTTGTTACAATCTAATTAATAAAGCGGATTGCTACAATATGAATGGATGTGAAAATCAGTGATATGAATTTGAACCTGTGAACATGTGCTTACTCTACATGAAATGACAAAACAAGACAGGAAAAATTTTCAAAGGTGCGACTCACTGAAATCTTAAATTAACAAATAAATAACACAAATTACTTACAGTTTGGACGTCCACAAATATAACACAAATAAAGGGGAAGGGATTGGGAAATGTAACTAGCCGGTATTCTACAAGACGCGATCAATTGAACTCGTGAAACGAACGTGTAATTTTCAAATGGCGGAACTGCGTTGGCCGGTAACGAACTTTTTCACTTTCTGACAATGACACTGATACTAATTTCCAATCGCGGGGCAATTATATCCCTTAGGGATATAGGCTGTACGATTTTAAGGAAAAATAAGATTGCCCGACCAAACGCCGCGAAATGAATTTAATTTCCACGAACGAAAAACAATTTTACCGAACTAGCTACGATGAGATTTGGATAGGAACTGGTCTGCTGGAAGCAAGTGACCATCCGGCTAGACCTTATTCCCCCTCCTACTTTAGTGCGTGGTGCATTCTGGTCTATACTGATCTATTGTTTAAACCAGCTGACTGTTCTTCGCGTTACCCTGTATTGATTTGTTGCCTTTTTACAACAAAATCGGTACAGTTTACATACCTTATAATCCGACAAACAGCTCAATTTATGACACAGGTGTTTACATGTTTCCGCTTGCATCCGCCATTACAGAAAATTACATCCTGACCTTCACGGCGGTGCGCGTCCTGCCCATGCATTTATTCCATTCTTAGTTTTTATTTGTTTCGTAAATGTCTTCGTCCCGTTAACAAAGACAAGTATTTCTTCATCCAACTGCTACGTTTTGACAATGGCGGATACAAGCCGAAACATGTAAACAACAGTGTCATAAAACTGTTTGTCACATTATAAGGTATGTAACCCTATTTATCACATTGAGACTTTTAGTTGTGTAACTTATCTCTGGCAAAGTACAAAAGTCTTATCTAATATTCTTACCTTGCACTTTATTTATTATCATAACAACAAGCTAAGTCCATGAGTTTTAATCAATATTTCCATTGAGATTAAGACATAATTTGGTCAACCAGTGCATAGTTGGTACACGCTAATTTTAACATTGTCTGATAAGCTACTAAGGACTTCAAAAACACTAATAGACCCTTCAATGAAAGACATTCCAATGTAGGTTCTGTGAAAACGAGGTTGAAACCACTGAACACTTATGGCTGGACTGTCCGGTGTTGGTCCAAAAAAGTTTGAAATATCTGGGAAGGTCGCAATTGGAACCGATAGAGATGAGGAAATAGGGCGTATCACAGCTTCTAGGCTATGCCAAAAACCTAGGATTTTCAGACTGAGTTGAGGTGTGCTACGATAGGTCAACAGGCTGAAGTAGCTAGGGGTAGATGAATACGCACAGGACGGGTGTCAGTTAGACAAATCTCATACTCTTAACAGGTTTGTGACTCAGCGTCAGCACCTCAGGAAAACGAGAACACAAGGTTCTGATTGCTTCAGCCTCACCAAGAGTCAAATGCCCTAACGGATCAATTGTTGTATCGCTGGGTCCCTCAGGCTCAACCACAGCATCCATGTTATACGTGCGACATTGCTGCAGCGCATTTGTCACAGGAAACAGGGCGCTAAATTTCCAGGTTATACAAACCACTACCTACGCAGAGTGGACCACGCATGGCTAAGTTAATACACAGCACTGACAGTGCATTGTTGTCGTGTCATTCACTTATTTCCACACTGGTCACAATCGAGTTATGTGGCATGGGTGTATTTTTACACATTTTGGAAACACTTACACTTTTAAAAAAGTAGTAAAATGCAAAATCTACAATAGCAAATAACATACTGCTATTCTCATTCCAAACACATACTTACAAGTGTTTAATCAAATGTGTTTTTTCTTTACTAAACCATCAGAACCCAAGCATATTGCCAATCCTTATCAAGTGGTCCTTAAGGCCCGTGTACACGAGGCTAGTATTAGCCGCTAATAAGTTAGCCCTGTGTAAATGCTCCATTAGCGAAAATAATTACTAGTGCGCTAGCATTTTACTCGCTGCTAGTCGCTTTGAACCTGTTTGATAATTCATCCGCTAATAAGTAGAGGGGGTAATCACGTGACCACTAGCGCTAGCAAATTAGCACGCGACTAGCGGGGTGTTTGCACCTCTGCTAGTGCTAATCGCCATTCGCCACACGCCAGTGCCAGTACGGTTGTTGTTTGTCTGTCAAGTTAAAAGTGGTTGTTAAAATGAGTGAACTGAAGTGGAACGTTGACCGGGTCATACAGTTTTTACAAATATTGAACCCACAAAGTTTGTTTCTTTATTAAGTTCATGTTCACACAATTCTAGCCCATTCTTAAAATTTGTCTCAAAATTTTCAATTTAAAGGAACAGAAGACATTTTGTGCAAATGAACCAATAAACACTTCTCTTCTACATGACTAGCGCTAATAACTAGCCACGTGTGGATGGGAATTTTTGCGTTAGTGTGCCTAGCTAGTGCTAATAGCGAATATTAGCTGCTAGTAAACTAGCTACGTGTAAACGCGCCTTTATTGTGTAACCTGGACTATGGATGTACCATTGCCCTAATGAACCAACACTATCAAGTCGTTTAATACACCGTGTCACTAAACTTACCGCTGATATATCAATATGGCCCTAACACATCAAGTAAATAATTATCCATAACCAATTAAACTGCAAATTCAACCTGTAAATCATGTTAAATTCACTCCTACCTCAAAGTTGCCTGTTTTTTTATATTTTTCGCCCTTCCAGCAATTCTATCAGGACCTGAATTCTCACTATGATTCGCTAAAGAACGAAGGCTTCTGCATGGATATAGTGGACATGATGAATCTTACCAGAGCGATGTGGAGTTCGGAACTTAAGTGCTGTCTGGAACGCAAACAGCCTGAGTGGTTGTTTCTGGTATCGTCCTGCGTGTTCACGTGTTTGCCGTTTGTCTTCTACTTGGCCGCGTTCATGTTCGTCACCAGCAAAGAGCAAACGCTGCTGAAACGTGAGTATTGCGTCATAAGTCTTGCTAATGAATACATACCATTTTGCTGAAGCTAAAATGATGAGTTATTACTAACAACAAAATAATCATGTGTCTAATGTAAGGAGTATTAGCTCTATGAGTGCAGAAGAACTACTGTAGATTAAATATCTGAATAAAAAAGGTGTAGTATTTAAAAACTGCTATTCAATTAAATTTATTTTTCAAAATATCTTTATTTGTTCAAGAAATACAGTTTACACTAACAACAAATTGACAAATTATATTTATCGCTTATAAAATAAAAAAAAATAGTTGAATACAAAATTATGAATTAATGATACTTGCCTTATTATGTAATGTTTACAAAAGTAATTAAGCTTTCTACTAAAAATATGTTAGTTTATTGGTTGTTATGCCGAAAGTTGTTATTTTAATTTGCTTAGCATTCAATTGTTGCTTCTTTATTTTTAGTTTAGGTCCATGACTAAAAGAAAACTCCTATAACTTTTATTATTTGTCTACAAAATATCCCCATTGCTCATACTTTGACCTTTAAACAAGATAGAACTTGTAGAGAAACCCAATCTCCTTTCTTGAAGTTTAGGAACCATTCTTGGGTAAATAGGAGTATAAAATATCTGTTCAAAGAAGAATCTGGGTTAATTCTGTTTTGGTTGACCATTTTTGTGAGCTACTGACACTATAAAAAACAATTTAAACTGCATACAAATAAATCAAGTTCTCATTAAAAGGGATATTCCATAGGATAAGAAGGTATAAGGTGGGTTACTGGGCCACTAATATATTTGACTTATATTTGATTTTACATTAACTAAACACTTGCAAATTTAGCAATCAAAATCAGATAACAATTTTTTCAACTAGGGCCTATGCCCTCTCTTTTCCTATGGCTAACCTTAAATACTTGAATGAATTATATTATGAATTATATGTAGGTTTGATTGGAAAGGGCTTATTGCCTGAGAAATAAAGAGACAAAGACAAGATGAGGAGGCCAACCTTGAAAAATTTCGGCATCCCAGTTCACAAAAGCAACACAAAATAAAAACTGAATATTTCATGCCACTGGCCCCCTTTTTCAACATTGAGAGTCACTAGATTCTGTCCTTCATTGATAAAGGAATTATTGTTGCCAACACAATATGAATTTTCTTATGAAAATTTACAAATAAGGGTCTTTTGGTTTCTATGTAATTAGTAATTGATTACAATATTTCGTCATTCGCCTATTGGGTCTGATGATGATTGGAAAGCCAATGGAAATCTATCACCACTTACTATCTTTTATGTATATTTACCGTCTTGTGAGTAACAGTATAAGCGTAATGTTTTAAGTGTTATAGCGTTGCTTTTATTTACTTTCTGTAGATTTAATAACACGTACAATGCTGATCAAGAAGTTATTTATTTACATGAGAATCTGGTCAGGGCCGGTTTAACCCATACGCCAACTACGCGGCCGCATAGACGGAATAATTTTATTTTTATTTTTTTATTTAACAACGTAATTTTGTTTATTTTCGCTCAGAGTTTAAGTATTCAAAGCACCACAATAAAGGCATTTATTCTGTTTGTACCAACAGCACTTGAAAAATGTGTATATTTGTACAGCACTACAACTCAAGGACTTAGTGCCATTTGCAGTTTCGATTTGTAGTGAGCTGACGCTCGGCAGCGTACAGCGTGGCGCCTTTGGGTTTCATTTCATGAGTCATGCTCAAGATAAGCAAGCGCGCATTGCCACTTGTCACAACAAGAAACTTCCCCCTCCCTTCCCTCCCTTCTACTTCTGATAACTCTCCCCTCCTAGAGCAGAGCATTACGTTGTATCGTATTGCACTCTTTTAGTTGTATACGTACACCTGTTCTGAACCAGATTGATACAGACTCAGCAATTAAAGAATTTGCCAAGATCAAAGCTAGGAGAATTAATTTTTAACTGCTAAGAGCTTTTGAACTGTTCAAATTGAAAATTTTGTATTCTTTTTGTCAAGGTAACAAATTTGGTTTTTCATGTTTTCTAAATGTTTAATGTGTTTAATAAAAAATTCCTCTCGTCATCTACCTACAGCTGTTTTTCATTGTAATAGGCTTTATAAAAACTTATATCGTATCCAAGTTATCCTGTAAAAATTGTTTTCACATTTAGAAATAAATTGTTAACTTAGGCCGTGATGCTCGTCAAGCATGACGTCACGATAGAAGACGGCAATGACGTAGGTATTTATTTATTTATTTTCCAAGGAAAGATTAAATCAAGCAGCTGAACACAGACGGCAAACATTACGTCATTGCCGTCTTCTATCGTGACGTCATGCTTGATGAGCATTACGGACTGTTTTTTTAGTGTGGCCTTGGTTTTGCTAAAGTTTATATGATGAGTAAAAGTGTAAAAATGTCAAATTTCTGGGAATAATGAAGAGTCTTTTATTGCAAGTATTCTTGTAACCTAAACTTATAAATAAGTTCTTCCCAAAATCTTTGGGAAAAAATTCACAAAAAATAGAGTTATAGTCCTCGCCACCTAAGTAATGTTCATGGGTTGAGGGGTGGGGTGGTAAGGGGGATTCTAAGTGGCGCTGATTCGGGTGTTCGCTTAACTCTGAAAAATTCCTAGAACCGGCCCTGAATCTGGTGACTCTCAATAATGAAAAATGGGCCATTGGTCTCGTAATATGCCTATTTAGTTTTTCCTTTAAGTGTTGCTTTTGTAAAGTGGGATGCCTACAATTTTTATGGTAAGCCTGCTTATCCAGTCCTTTGTCTCCTCATTTTTTATGAATCAAATAGGATACTTTAATCATAATTTATATTAGAATAGAAAAGTTTAGATAGATAATCCTGATAAGTTTATGCTTGTAAACTTTTCTCATTTCCTACCCGGGTAATGTGTTTATTTTACAGAGAGAAGATTACAAGAAAATTTTAACACCGGAGCCCACTACAGCGGTTTCGTGGGTGATTGACTACCTAGCTACTGACTAAACCTAGTTTTAAACTATTCAAAACATATTTTTAATTGTTTAAGGGTATATCGTCAAGAATGTTTTCTCTTACATATTGGACTATTTTTAAACATTTGACATTAACCTCTAAGACGTCAAACAGGCTTTATAAAATTAGTGATAGTTTATTGTATTTTGTAATATTCTACTGTAGCTGCATTTTAAACTACAATGTTTCCGGTATAAAATATGTTTCATTAGTTGGATTGTTTGGTGAACTAAAATCATTCTAAGGAGGCACAATCAAGAGCATATATTTTTTATACTTCTAGTTTATTATATTTAGCTTAATCAATTATTCAAGTGTTTGGCCATAGTTAGGCCCATGTCGACTAGAAGCAAAACATTTTAGGATTTAAAGTTAAGGTAATCTTTATTATGAAAGCATTGTATTTTTTTTAGCAATAAATTTATTCTTGCCTTGTTGAAGTAATGTTGATGAAAATAATTAATCACAATACTTTTAATTGGCATTGCATTAAATTGTTGCTTCTTCATTATTAGTTGAGGTTCATGCTAAAACTGTTATTATTTGTCTTCAAAATATTCCCCATTACTCATGCTTTAGCCTTTAAACAAGACGGAAGTTGTATTGTAAAAAAAACTTTAACAATATGTGTATGTTATACTATTTATATATTTTAGCGGTTGCATTATCCATTTGATTGTGTGAATGAGATTTGTGAATGTGAGTGTGATTATTTAGACTATGACTTAGATTAGTTAAGCTCGGTATGGCCAAGAACAGATAATGATTGGATTATGGTCGGATACGGTTTTGGATTCATCTGTGATAATAAGCGAAAGCTGTGACTTTAACATTTGCTAATTGATAATCTTGAGTATGTACACTTGTAATATTTATCCAGGCGGTTTGTTTCAAATGCACTCTTATATTGATCCTCGTTAATTTTGGGTGGTAGAGTTTCTCTAGTTCAATGGGTTTTTTTTTCTGCTTTTTTTAGTTTTAGTTTATGGACTTTTCCTATACTAAGAGGTTTGACTACACTATGTTTTGTGAGGTTAGGAAACTCCTCCAGTTTTTAAGTGACTCCGATTACCCTACATTTACCTAAATCCATCCTAACCTACCTACTAACTATAGTTTTTTTCTCCACATTTATTAAATTTGATATACAGTATTACGTAACCTAAAAAACAATATACAAAAACACAATGAAACTAAAACTAAACACACCTGTTCTTATCAGTCCAAAAAATATTATACTATACTTACTCTTACTAATCTGGAAATAAATACAACACCTGTTCCTTCCTGCTAATTTATCCATAGGAATTATTAATAATTTTGATAACTGATTCCACAATATTCATCAAACTAAACTAAACTAGACAATCAATGTACCTAGTTGCCACAATGAAAAAGTTATTAATTTTCAGAGTGACACGTCTGTGTATTTTACATCCAACTTTTATTATGTGTGTCGTCCACTATACTGTTCATTGTGGAAGATCTCTATGGATTGTGTCTGAGATTTTTAAATATATAGTTGACGTAGTTAGGATGAATTGGTGTTGAGAATGTATTTTGAAGAAAAAAGTAATATAAAATGTTTAATTCACTAGTGTTCACCTAGCTACATGACTGTTTTGTTAATTATATTTTGCACGCACATACAATAACAATTCTCAAAATGTAAAAAAGAGTTTAGAACAAAATACTGTACCAACATTTGTGTTTACTTTCAACTTAAAACCTTTTTGAAGTATTTGGTTGAGTTGGGAGCGTTTCATAAACTCCAAATTCCACAAACTCCAACGCTTAAAATATTAAATGAACAGCGCGTTTCATAATGTCCAAATTTCATAAGCTCCAAAACTATAACATTCAAATAATCACTAGTTCACAATGTCCAAGTTTCACAAACTCCAACGTTTAAATATTAAATAAACAGAGCGGTTCATAACCTCCAAATTTCATAAGCTCCAAATCTATAACATTCAAGTAATCACTGTTTCACAATGTCCAAGTTTCACAAACTCCAACGTTAAGATACCAAATAAACAGTGCGGTTCATAATGTCCAAATTTCATAACCTCCAACGGTACAGTCTGGGCCAGAAGTCTCTACAGTGGTTGCCACAGTCAGATAGCAGGCACCGTTCGCCAGCGCTCAACTACTGATTATACGTGCATTTTAATGATTGAAGAACACTCAGCTGTGTGACTCAAATATGTGTTAGCACACAATGTGCAAATCAAATTTACATTTTTATATTTTTAATAGCTTTAATTCACTGAGTTTCTTAACTGTTCCGTCTCTCAATTAAAAAGCCACTACAAATATCGTAAGAGATTTTTTTTACCGATGAAAATTTTTAAAACATATAAATATATTTTATAAGTATATTTTCTAATAGCTGTTAAAATTTCATGATGATTACATCAGTAGTTTTTTTGTTATGGCACGGCAACCTCTGCAGCGACTTCTGGCAGAGACTGTACCGTTGGAGCTTATGAAACTTGGATAAACATAAACATAAACTTAAACATAAACTTGGATAAACTTGGAGGTTATGAACCGCTCTGTTTATTTGATATTTAAACGTTGGAGTTTGTGAAATTTGGACATTGTGAATCGGTAATTATTTGAAAATTATAGTTTTGGAGTTTATGAAATTTGGAGGTTATGAAACGCACTGTTTATTTAATATATTAACGTTGGAGTTTGTGAAATTTGGACATTGTGAAACTGTGCTTATTTGAAAGTTATAGTTTTGGAGTTTATGAAGTTTGGAGGTTATGAAACGCACTGTTTATTTAATATTTTAGACGTTGGAGTTTGTGAAATTTGGACATTATGAACCTCACCCGTTGAGTTAGATCATACATGGCTTGTAGACATTTTTATGAAAATTGACCTTTTAACTGTACTTCTTTATATTACTGTACTGTACTTAGAATTTATAATTTGTATTTATAATATTATGTATAACCTAGTTTCTTTGAGGTTTGTCTATTACAGTAGACCCCCTCTTAACCGACCCTAATGGGACCGGACCTAGGTCGGATAACGCAAAAGGTCGGATAAAACGGGCAATCCCTAAAATCATAACATAATGAAGTGCTATTTATTTGGAATTATATAATCATTATTTTGAAGTCATACTAGCATTATTTATAAAATAAACTACTCTTATCTCCTTTTTCATATTGATAGAAAAGTCACAAATAAACACAAAACACGGTTAAGTCAAATAGGCCTACTTTCAGTGGAATATATTATAATACTAGGCAAGAGTAAATAAAATTCATATTTTAATAACTTTAGTACTGCAATGTATTAATTGATGCTTTCCAAATACATTGTAATACAGTACAGAACCTTTTGTTGACATTAGATACAAGCGACCATTTTGTTACAAGACAGGACGTTTATTTATAGCCTCTCACTGGTGTCTCGAGGCACAAAAACTATCTTGACCTTGGAATTGTTAACCCCCCATCCCTGCCTTCCTTACAAGTTGCGTTGTTTGTTTACTCCGGCGATAAGATAATCAGTTCTCAAAATTGTGAGGCACTTTATGATGTTATAAATTTGCCGCGCAGATAACAAATCAGATCAGATGTGCTCGAATACAGATATAGCTACGAACGATGATGACAAACTGACAATAGGCTATGCTATATTTTTTGTGATCAACACAAAATAAACAGTCATATCCTGTGGAGATAAGCGTATGGTTCAGTTCTCATCGCCCAGCGTGGGAGCGGAAATGCCGAGATTCCTAGAAAGCGGCGGTTAAACCGAGCTGCTCTCAAAGCAAGGTCGGTTAAAACAAACTGCATTATTTTACGTTCGAAGGCGGATAATCCGATTATTTGTTAATACGAGGTCGGTTAAGAGGGGGTCTACTGTAGTAACCTTTGAACTCAGGTGCCTTATACTTTGTTACCAACTTATGTGTAAATAAAATTTGTATAGTATTTTTTTTTATTTATTAATTTTAACCCTGGGACTGTCTAAACAAAGTATCAGCTGATCCATTAGCAAATTATCTAAACCCTGGTGCTGTCCTAACAAAGTATCAGCTGAACCATTAGCAAATTATCTAAACCCTGGTGCTGTCCTAACAAAGTATCAGCTGAACCATTAGCAAATTATCTAAACCCTGGTGCTGTCATAACAAAGTATCAGCTGAACCATTAGCAAATTATCTAAACCCTGGTGCTGTCCTAACAAAGTATCAGCTGAACCATTAGCAAATTATCTAAACCCTGGTGCTGTCCTAACAAAGTATCAGCTGAACCATTAGCAAATTATCTAAACCCTAGGACTGTGTAAAAAAAATACCAGCTGATCCATTATAAATTTATCCATGAGACTGTCCTAACAAAGTATCAGCTGAACCATTAGCAAATTATCTAAACCCTGGGACTGTCCTAACAAAGTATCAGCTGAACAATTAGCAAATTATCTAAACCCTGGGACTGTCCTAACAAAGTATCAGCTGAACCATTAGCAAATTATCTAAACCCTGGTGCTGTCCTAACAAAGTATCAGCTGAACCATTAGCAAATCATCTAAATCCTGGGAACGTGGCTATGTGGTTGTATGTCCTTGACAGTGAACTCTCTAAGGATGGTCTGGTCGCATAGACCGGTCTCGGTCCTCCGCCAAAGAAAAAGACAAAGGTTGCAACCAGAGGCTCGGCCATCTGTTTCCCTCAGTCCGGACTGGTTTTGGTTTTTGACTTATTTTCTGTTGGTTTTGCTTGCAGGTTGGCACTGACCTTTTAAGTGATTTGAAATCTATGAGGGTCTTGTGTTGTCATTTACTTGTGTCAACAGATTTTGAAATACCAATACCATATCCTTTTTGGGATGTTAAAAACTCAGTGAGCAACTGATTCATTATGAATTGTTTTTGTATTTTTTTTCTAAGTATAATAATTATCGTCTCTTAAAAAAAATTCCAATGTAGAATTGTGAATTTTTAAATCAATTGAATTTGGGGAAACGGTTGCAGATTTTGAAACTGTTGACCTATTGACTAGGGATTTCTACCATGTTGTCAGTTAATTTGAACGTTGACTGTTGAATGTAATGTCAATGTTATCTGGAAATCTAAAGAAAAATCAAAATGGTGTGTTTAACCACACAAATGTGATTGTACCTAAAATAATAGTTTTTTTCTAAACTTTTTTATAGCAAACTCAACCCCTTGCAAAATTTGTGGTAAGTTTTATATTACCTTGTTCAGTGAAAAAAACTGTCAATTTATTGATTTGGTTTATATTGTAGTTCTAGTAGTACTGCGATATGGTCACATGTTTTATTCTTTTCGGAGCTAAAAATCTCAGCTCTGTAGAAGAGTTTTTCACTGGACAATGGACTAAGTAAGGCATTTTCTGGGTGCTATTTCTGCAGTTTTTCCCCAGCTTCTTGAGTACAATATTTTGTGAAGAAACCCCTAATCAAACCATAAGCTATATACATTGTGATGTTTTTAATGCAACCCAAATAAAAAAATTGTGAAAACTAAGTCTTCAAAATGGCAGTTTTATACCATTTCTTTGTTCAAAGTTAGTGTGACAAATTATTGTACGCAATGTGTATGCACTACTGTATTACATTCAGTAAAAAAATATTCAGAGTGAGTCTTCTAAGCTGTCCTAAACAGATTACAGACAAATGGCTTGACATACAGAGATGTTACAAAACTTTTCCCCACTAATTCATACCCAAGTAACAACGTAAAAATATTTTTAACATTTTTAAAATACAGAGTGTTCGAGAAACTGGGGGTCATGGGTTTGAATCTCAGAGTTTTCAAAAGTAAACATATGTCATGTTTTGTATCATTTTAAAGCTCTAGACCAGACAAACTATTTAGTGAAAACAGAACTCCTTTATCTTTATCCAGTTCAAAATGGCGGCCATTTGTATGGAAAATATTAATATTTAAAGAATACCCTGTGTCTTGGAAACCACTTAACTTATTTTCGTTCTGTTTGAAAATTCCTAATCCTCGTGAGTCTAGCTTTAATTGTATATGCAACATGTCAACATTTTAAAAACTGAAAATATTTTCAATTATTTTATTTTTTTTATGTTGATAGGCTTGTAAACAAAAATTTTTAAATGGCTACATATGTCAAATGGTGTATCATTTGAAGGTCTTGCATAAACAACTTTAAACTTTAAACCCACCGTCTATCCGTACTGTATAGTGTATCTGCATCCATACTAATCACCAGTACTGCACGTTTAACATGGGTTTTATATGGGCAATTGGAATTTTTGGTTAGTTACTAGAAAACTACCCTCTTTATAGACGACCCTCTGGATCCGCCACTGCTGGCACGACAACTTTGCTAGAAAGTCGACACGTTGTAAAGATTTGTTATGTTGGTACCAACTAGAAGAATCAACCAGTTCATTGGTTCATGGCTTTATTTCAATCCCTTATTCTGCCCCTATTTTTTTAACCCTGTTAACATACAATTTGTCGGGGTTACAGCCTTATCACAAGAAAACTAGCATCCCTTGGAATTAAAGGCAGGGCGATGGGCGAATGCATGGTTTGCTAACTACCTTCAAGTACAAACGCAATTTGTCGAAACTCAGGAATCATCCAATGGAATGAAGAAAGAAAACATACATATATCAGAGCCACAGCAGAGGAGTACCACAAGGGTCTGTACTCGGTCCGGTCTTGTATGTTTTATTCACAAATGACTTCCCTAGCATGATCAAGGAAAACAGTATATGTTGTTATCATTGTAAAAATTTTTTAACACTTGCATTAAAATAACAGTTTTTCATAGTCTCCTCTTAAACACTGTTTCTTGCAATTTCACAATCCATCCATGTACTAAGCCATAAAAATCCATGTACTAGTTTTAAGTTATATTATTGTATGACGCCATTGTAATTTCTTGACGAAACTACAAATAAAGAATGATTTGATTTTAATTTTGTCAACTGCCAATTAGCCATGGCCATTTGTATTCGGGAAGCATCCGGGCCATAGGAACCATCAGAATCCTCAGAGCCTTTTTATATTATTCGACTCAAATAAGTTTTAATGATGACATTTTTACCTAACGAAACCAAACTCAACGGAAGAGTAATCTTTTATCACGTGACAAATTATGACAGTGACTGAACCTGACAGGACAACCTATGGTAAGGATCCGGTTTCCTAACTGACCAAGGTAATGTACTGAACCAGTTTATCATCAAGTTGGACCGTTGCCAAAACCAGAGACTTCAACACTCAGTTTATTGACCCTGATACTGACTCTTCTGACATTTTGTGATCACTTAATTAATACAGTGCTCTTTACTAACTTGTCTGACTTAGTTATGAATGTAAACAAAAGCTTAGTGAATTTCCCATTGGGAATAAGCTACCGTACTATCAAAGGTCTGATGTTAAGACCTAGAATTTACATTTTAGCGAATTTCCCATGTAGGGAAAAAGCTTTTACCGCAGGTCTCATGGTAAGACCTAAACCTGGAACCAATTTATTTGTTTGTTTTGATGTCCCGAATATAAATATGTCCGTTTGCTCGATAACTCGATAAATCATCCGATTTTGATGAAATTTGGTACAAACATGTAAACCTATGTTTATTCAAAAGATATATCCCGAACCAGCGTGATCATACCATGAGAACGGGGTTTTATGGGGTAAAAATTGGTTTTTTTTTTCATTTTTGGACCCTCCAATCATAAAACTTTCCAATTTATTTATAAACCATTTTGAAGATCTTAAAAAAACAATGATCGGACTATTGAATGGTGTTAAATGGGGTAAAAAAATTATTTTGTTCCATATTTGATGATCCTCGTAACATCAAATTAGCAATTTCTTAGTAAACCATTTTGTAGAACAATAAACTAATAATTTAACTTCATGTTGTTTCTTGTCCCAGGATTACTGTTTTTAGATAGTAAAAGGTATAATGTTACCTGGATTATTAATAATTTAACATATTGAAGCGTTGTTGTACCCTTAAAGGCTGTGGAGAAGATGAAAAAAAAACTGTAAATGAAAAATATCCATGTTATTCTTATAGAGAATAATTTTATCTGTAACCGTTTCGAAAACAACGACGATTCAATGTACGGTACAGAATAGTTTTTTTTTTTCAATCATCATTTCTGCTTGAGTTATCGTGCTAACGGACACACACACACGTACGTTATTTATGAATTTCGAAACGATGGTGTTTTTGGTGCCTTTAGGTACCTTAAAATGAAAAAGTAAATTGTTCCCGGGTCCTTACCATGAGACCTACGGTAATAACTTATTATTAAAAGCTATGCTATATAAAAAATGTCTAGCATCAGCAACTGTTCTTAAATAGGGATATCAATACATAGCTCCATCAATATACATCAAATTCTGTTGGCAACTTACCATTTAAATGTAAATCGGATGTGCTATATTGATAGTATATGATTGACAATACTGTCTCCGTCTGTATTATCACATGTCTCTACAAACTGTTTAGGAACTCATAACTAAAATTAGCTAATCATTCATAGTAGTATTGCTTCATTCCTGTAATAACAGTTTAAGATAGATGGCAGCTTTGATGTCGATTTAATTTGTGTCTTTTATCTTGATTGCTCAGGATTGAATTGCATCTTGTAAGAAAAGGGTTTAATTTCAGAGTCTGCGGGTACTTAGTTTTGATCAAACCCTTTCCACACAATATATTACAATGATTCAAAACAACGGTATTCAATTTTTGCTATCATTTCAGGTGTAAAATTTCACGACACTTGCCACCGTTAAATATATGAACAATTTTTATCCAGTTCAAATACAGACTGACTCTCAACAGAGAAAGGGGGAGAGAGAGAGAGAGAGAGAGAGAGAGAGAGAGAGGCTGCTTCCCAGAGTCAGGTCCCCAGTCAAGTTCAGGGCCACCAACTGGACTTGTCGCAAAACCTCTTTTTTGGTGACAGA